GAATCTTCTTCTGACTCTAGAACTAGCATTCAGTGATTAGAAGTAGCAGGCTGCACTGATGCAAAGTGAGTTAAGGAAAGCAAGGAAAACAAATATGGACAATAATCTCCGTAGTGTAAATGGGAAGAACTAAACACTCCAACTGAATACTGTGTTGTGAGGCAGGATTGGGTTGGGGAGGAGTAGGAAGGGATGTGCTCTGAAATGATGGTGATTTAGAAACAAAAGAAATAAATAATAACTAAAGAGATTTTTTAAAAGGTCATCTACTCCAACTCTTCTCTCCTTATTTTGCAGAGGAGGAAACTGAGACTCAGAAAAGTGAAATGATTTGCTCACTTACAGGTAGTCAACGTCAGAGCTGAGATTTGAACTCAGGTCTTGCAATTCCAAATTCACCTCTCTTTCCACCACACTATTCATGGAAGTATGAGAGAAGAAGTGGACTGTGCCATGCCTTGCGCCGCACCCTTACCTTCTCTCCAAGACAGGCTTTGTGGCCAGGTACAGAGTAGGCTCAGTGTATTTCAAGCCTGGAGGGACCCTACTTCCTGACAGGATGTGAAGTTTATTAAGATTTTGAGAAGCAATTTCCAAGACGTCAGGCTACCTGTCAGATCTTGTGAGGACATCCAGCCAGCCAGCTTTAGCCCGACTGCCAATTGGCTTTACGAATCGTAAATAGGGAAGACGTGGGCCAATTTTACATTGGTTTGAGCCGCAGGTATTTTCGATATTGTCAAAGATGATTTTAGAACAGATGAAGTACATTTCACGTGACAAATGTATGGAAATTTATTCTTGCCTCATTCAAGAGGCTGCTGTTTAAGGATAACACTGACCAGTTGCCTAGACCCCGAGGAGCCAACCCCAGACTGCAGTGAGAGATTGGGGTTCATGAGGACCTTCGAAGGTCTCTTCCTTAATAAGATGAGGCCCCACACCTCTGCTTTTGTATCTGTCTTAACATAAGTGCCAGAGAAAGAATATTTTCGTCCTGAGATCAGCCTGGAAACATCCTCATCCAGGTCTCCAGGGCCAAGGAAAATGGCAGAGATGGAATAATACATAATTAGACCCCCAAGTTTAAGCAATGCAGATTATTCTGCCATCCACTTTGCCTGAGGAGTCTGGGCAAGGCACTTAACCCTGTTTGCCTCAGTTTCCTTATCTGTAAAATGAGCTGGAGTTAAAAATGGCAAACCACTCCACTCCAATATCTTTGCCAAGAAGGCCCTAAAATATGGTCAAGGAGAGTCAGACATAACTGAACAAGAAAAATTACCATGGAAAGAGTGTTTTGCTTGGCCCCAGAGGGCAGAACTAGACCTTAGGGGTAGAAGGTGTAGGGAGGTAGATCTCAGCTTGATGCAAAGAACTTCCTAATCATCAGAGATATCTCCAAATGAGGTAGGATGCCTTAAAAGATAGTGGAGCCTTCCTTACCAGAGGTCTTCAAATGACGACTGAATGATCAATTGCTAGGTATGTTGTAGAAGAATTCCTATTTAGATAAGGATTGGATTGGGACCCTTCCAACTCTGGTACTCTGTGACTTAAAAAAAAAATTGTGTCAAGCACTTAACACTATGTCTGGCAAATAGGAGGTTTTTAGACATATATTTGTTGAATTGAATTGCAATCAATAGGATGTTAATGCATTCACAAGGACCCAGAAGGATAAGGAAATTGAGGAAACTGAGGCTTAAATGATTTGCTCAGGGTCACACAACTAGTGTCTGATGCTGGATTTGAACTCAGGTCTTCCTGACTCCAGGTCTAGCACTCCAGCTTCTGCACTGTTTAAATGCGTCGTGGCATTCGTGACGTGATCTTGGGTGAGACTCTCTCCTTTGTTGCTTACTAGCATAATCTGGGGTAGGTCCCTTACCTTTCTGGAGACTCGGTTTCTTTAACTGTAAAATGAAAGGTTTATACTAGATAATCTCTAAGGTCCTGTGTAGCTCTAAACTTAATTCAGCCTTTTATCCTTCAGAAAGGAGAATTACTATTTTCTTATTTCATCTCTCTGGGCCTCAGTTTAGCAATTTTTAAAGTTTCATCTCTCTGGGCGTCAGTTCACCAATCTATAAAATCAGAAGATTGAATGGTGGTTTCCATTTAATGGTTTGAGAACCTCTTGAGGGTTCATGCCAATGGTCTAAGGTGTTCATGCTAAAAACTTTTAAATAAATAATTGTAGAATATGATGAATAATATATTAAATGACCATGGGGTTTACAACATTTTTTGGGGGGAGTTGTTGTTGAAAGGGCTTTACAGAACAAAAAAATGTTGGAAACCACTGGACTAGTGGTCTCTAAAATTCCATCCAGCTCCAAATAAGAACAGCTTCTGTAAATATCTTGTCCTTAGGTTTGCTAAGCCCTTCACATGCCTCATATCATTTGATCCTTTTATCTACCCTAGGAAGCAGGTGTTGTTATTATCCCCATTTTACAGACGAGAAAGTTGAGGCTTAGGTGATACTTAGGCTCAGTGTCACACAGCTAGTAAGTATCCAAGACTAACTTTGAGCTCAGGTCTTCCTGACCTCGGGACCAAGACACTATTTATTGTACCATGCTACTTCCCATGATATTTCTCATAGAGTAAATGATTCTATGATCTTCTTTTGGCCTCATTTTCCCCATCTGTAAAATGGGAGGTGGGGGTTAGACTAGCTGATAATAGTATTATGACTGGACCTGTGATTTCACCAGTATAGGGACTTCTTTTTACTAATGCATGTTGGCACTGTCTCTGAATTTTAGGACTAGAGTTTCCTGGGGACGTCGAAAGGTTAAGTGATTTGCCAAGGGTTACACAACCTGTATGGGTCAGAGACAGGGCTTGAGCCCAGGTCCTTCTCATTCCAAGCCAGCTCTCTATCTACTATGCCAGGCTGCCTCTGACATTTATGCCTTCCGTTAAAGTTTGCATAAGTGGTTTATCTATGTTATCTTGTTTGCTCTTCACAGGAGTCTTATAATGAAGTCTGAACATGTCATCTCTTCCCTGACACTTCCCTCCCCCCTCAATAAACTCTAGCAGCTTCCTATCACCTTCAGCATCACATATAAAACCCTCCATTTGGCAATCAAAGCCCTTCATAACCTGTCCCCCTCTGCCCCTTTCTAGTCTTCTTAGCATTGTCCCCTCCACATGCCCTTTGATCTAGTGACATCAGCTGTTCCTTACCCGGGGTGTTCCATCTCCTGACTCCGAGCTTTTTTCTTGACTGTTCCCCGGACTCCACCCCATGCCTGGAATTCTTTCCTTCCTCGCTCCTTCCTCCTAAATTCGCCAGTTTCCTTCAAATCTCAGCTAAAGCTCCACTTCCTACAAGAAGCCTCTGCAGAATCACCTCAATGTTAGTACTGTCCTTGAGATCATCTCCTATTTATGCTCTCTATATTGTTTGCATATAGCTATTTGCACATGGTCCCCTCATTAGGCTGTGAACTCTGAGGGTGTGGACTGTTTTTGCCTTTCTTTGTATGCCTGGCACACAGTAGGTACTTAATAAATAGTGGTTGTCTTGACTTGAGGTTAGGTTCTACAAGTATTGTTATTCCCATTTTGCAGATGAGGAAACAGGCTTAGCGAGGGTAGATGACTTGCCCATGGTCACATAGCTAGGATTCCTCACCTTAGGTATTCTATATAAGTCATTGAGCTAACACAACCATCAAAATGTCATGGCACTGTTTCCCTCCAGACAAACCACTTCCTTGATAATCCCCCCAGGTGGTTCACTCCTTTCTGTGTTTGATATGAATAGGGCAGATAACTGCTTTCTCATTGGGAAAGATGATTGCTTCCTGACCCTGGTTGGCTAAACATGGAAGGCCATCACAGAATTCCCTGGTAAAATTTCCTATAGTGCTTGACCACTCTGTTTTCCAGATGTTCATCAGTTCTCTTTGCCTTTAAAAAATGAAATCAGAAACCCCAGATAAAGCAAAGGCAGCATGCTGGAGTGACCTCTTGAAATGCCTTGCCTTTATCCCCCCAGATCAACTTTCTTTGTTCCCTTTTGTCTTTAAAAAAATCTGTTGGGACTATCAGTGTTTAGGGATGTCTTGGCAGGATGGGCTTCTGTAAAGTCTTCTTCAGCCTATTCCATCACTACTGCCTTTTTCCTCCCACCCCCCACCATTTTCTTTTCTTCCTTGCATCCCTGTTCTCCTACTATCTCCCCCCTTTCCTCTTGCCTATTACTTATTCCCCCCATGTAACAGCTTACCGTCAGAATTCTCCCATCCCTGTAGTCCATGGACTTTCTCACTCCTCACTCTTCTTTTTATACACACACGTGCATACACACACACACACATACATACACACATACATATATACATATACATACACACATATCTATATCTATATCTGGCCCTTTCCTACCTTTTCTGCCTTAAACTTTACTCCTTCCATGCAGTCTCTGATCTAGCAATGATGGTCTACTTTACAGAAAATACCTTCTCTAAGCTTTTTCACTGACTGTCCTGCACATCTGGAATGGTCTCCCTTTTCAACTCTGCTCCTGGCTTCCCTGGCTTTCTTCAAGGTTCAGCTCAAATCCCATTTTCTACAGGAAGCCTTCTCAGTCTTGCCAGCTTTTAATCCCTTCCTCTCGGATTACTATCTCTCTACTTTGTATATAGCTTGTATTTACCTAATTTCATGTTTCTCTCCCCATTAGAATGTGAGCTCCCTGAGGGTAGGGGCTATGTTTTTGCTTTTCTTTGTATCCTCAGTGCTTAGCTTACTTGGTACCTGGTGAGCAGTGGATGCTTAATAAATGCTTCTAGACTGGTTGACGGGCCCATGTTTATCTGTGTGAGTTTAGTGTATGTTGGACTGAGTGCTTGCCCACCTTGTTCTGATCTGCCTCAAGCTATTATCTCTTCAAAGGCAGAGTCTTTTCCCACCCTCTCCTTCCCACAAAGTGTGGACTGGCACTGAATAAAAGATTTCCCCCCATAATGATGGTCAAATGTTGTCTTTTAATTTGATGCCAAAAAAAATCAGCTTTGAATAATCAGTGCCCATTGTCTGTCCTGGGAATTTGGACATTGTGGAAACCTCTGGAGGAAATCTTTCCACGTCTGCCATGCCCAAAGTGCTGTTCCTCCTGGTCAGGGCTGCTGCCTGCAGTGCCCATATGTGGGAAGGCCCCACCATCACCGGTGGATGAGGAGGGGGCAGAACAATTTCCCAAAACTTGAGCCCCTTGTATGTAGTCACCAGCTAATGGCTTCTTGGCCTCAGACTCAAAAAGGGCCAGAACATCTGGTGACCGAGCCATCTTCTCCCTGCTTCCTCGGGTCAGAATGAGTGTGTGTATGTGGGTATGTGTGTGTGCGCGTGTGTATGTGTAGGGAGGGCACTGGGCACAGACCAAATGCTTCATTCATCCCTTAGGAGCAGAGCCCATTCCTCTGTGCCTTGTGGCTCAAGAAATCCAAAGAACATGAGGAAATTGGCCAAGTCAGCCAGTAATTGGCTGAATTCCTGGCTCCATCATTGGGGTCCCAGAGCGGCAGAGGAAAGCCCACAGATGCCATGGCCTTGGGGTAATCTGTACCCTGGGATGTGGGCTTTGGATCCCAAACAGACTCCCAGGAAGCCACCCTTGAGATGGACCAGGGTGTAAATTTTACAGTGGATTTATCTACATGTTGGGGCATTAACACAAGAAGTCCATACATGCTGAAGATGTGGCTGCCTCCCAGTGAGGGGAGCTGTCCTAGGTGGCTCAAATAGGAAATAGAGTAGAAAAGGCACATGATTCTTTATCAGAGGAGTTGTGCACCAATCCAGTAATTTAAAGCTGAGGAATCATCTGTCCAAAGAGGGTTCTCTTGATATGGTGGTTCCCTTTGAACTCCACACAGGGTCAAGAGGGTTTTCCATTGCTCTGTAGAAGTATGGCTGCCAGGAAGCCCAATGGCTGGTCCCATCCTGGGCCAGAGATAGTGAATGAGACCTCTTCCTTCTTGGTGTCCATGGCAGGAGAGCTGTGGGGCCAGTGGGGACCCCAGGCTTGGTGATCTAATCCTTAGTAAGCCACCCTTGTCTCCTTCCCATAGTTTTTCTCACCACTAGGTCTGGGAAGAAGAGTGAGAAGGATATCCTTTCATGAGGAGAGTAAGAGGGTTCCCCATCAGTGTCGCCCATGTTTAATCCAGTTTCTAATCATCCATTTTTGTCCCGAGCACCTCTGCACCACCAATCGGAGACCAAAGTTAGCCTCCTTGGACATCTCCACTTCCAGACACCGTCCTGTGTCTCTGCTCACAATGGGGCCATTCTGGGGTGGGGAGAGGAGACGGAAAGGAAATAAAGTTAATGAGGAGGACCTCAGGTAATTCCCTTCCTAGAGGAGGTACATACACGTGGTGGTGGTGGTCATAGCTTCTTGGGAACAAAGGCACAGATGACTAAGTGATTTATGCTGGTGATCCCCTGCCTGTCTCTCTGTCTCTTTAGGATACTATGCCCACACTCACATAGTTAGTATTCCTTCCACCTCAGGTAGTCTATGAGTCATTGAGCTAACTCAACAAATAAAATTCCCTGGTCCTCTTTCTCTCTAGACAGATCACTTCCTTGCGAATCCCCAATGTGGTTCACTCCTTCCTGCCTTTGGCATAAACAGTGCGGATAACTGCTTCTTCATTTGGAGACTATGAAGAGGCCTCTGGGGGAAATGGAATGTCCCATCTCAGCTTCCTGTCCCTCTGCACAAGCACAGCTACCAGGCATGTTCAACCACAATTTTTCAGGCCAGCTACCTTGGGTTCAAAAGACTTGCTTCAGGGAAGAGATGCAGGCATAGATGCAACCCAAGGTTGAATTTATGACTATAAGGGGGACATAGACTCTAACTAGGTCCAACTTAGCTCCCTTAGAGACCCCAATCATGTTGGATGAAGGAACTGAGCATGTCTAGTCTGGAAGCCTGGAGGAGGAAAGGCTCAGAGTGTAGGGAATAGAATTGTTCCATTTGGCCCAGAGGTCCAAACCAGGAGCAAAGGGTAGAAACAGCAGAGACTTAAAGTAAGGAACAATGTCCTCACAGTGAGAGCTATCTGCAGATAGAACGGACTGCTCCTTAAATGTCTTCAAGAAGAGGCTGGGTGACCACTCATCGAGTATATTAGAGTGCGGATTCCTTTTGCACGTGGGTTGGATTAGATGGCCAATGAGCTCCTTTCACATTCTCAAATTGTGTGATTCTATGATGCTGTGAGTCCGAATCATCCCCTGGCTAGTTCCTGCTCTGCTGGGATCCTTGAAATCTTCTAGGAAGTCACTTGATCATTAACATGCCTCAATTTCTCTATATATGTGCAGTCATCCTGGATACTATCTTATGCTTAACTTGAAGTTGTTTCTTCTCTGCCCTGATCCAGGTCTGCCCTGGCTCCCATAACAGCTGTCTAGATTTGATGGGAATAGTCCCATGTCTTTGTCTGGGCAGGTCTCTCCTGGCTGAATTCCTCTCTGAGTGCTAGGAATTGAGGATACTTGTCTGGGGACCTGAGAGTTTTCATCAAAGATAATCATGAAGGGGGCATGACACAGTGAAACAATGCTGGATTTGGGGAGCTCCCAGTGCCCCCGCCCCCATACCTCAACTCTTACCTGGGTAAAGTCCCAGAGTCTCTGGGCAGGGCGGGACACATCCTCACATTTCTTCAGGGTGGGTGTCCGACCTTTCCCATCATCAATGAGACACTTGGAGTCTGGCAGGAAGGCAGTGGAACCTAGGGGCCCCAGCTGGAGCAGACCCTCAGCACTATAGCGTACCAGCTTGGGTGGGGGGAGAATGAGAGAGAGAGAGAGAGAGAGAGAGAGAGAGAGAGAGAGAGAGAGAGAGAGAGAAAGGGAGAGAGATTAAATTGTGAAGAGTCTAACCCAACGGGGCAGAAGCATTTCCCCTCTTCTTTCTAAGACTCTGATTGGTTCTTAGTCCGTGGATGTCAAATATTGATTGCTTACTTCGGAATTCGACCATCTCAGAGTCAAAAGGGACCTCAGAGGTCATCTATTCCAACCTGTCTATGAGTAAGACCTATGATTTCATTGGAATGGGGAATTATCAGGTGAGGAAAGTTCCTCTACCAATGTAGGTTGGCATCTTCTCTGTAATTTAATCATCATCATCATTATTAGCAGCAGCGGCAGCAGCAGCATCACTCATGTTTGTACATGTGCCAGGGACTGTGCTAAGTGCTTTACAATTATTATCTCAACTCATTCTCACGACAACCCTGAAAAGTAGGTGCTATTAATAATAATAATAAAAATAATAACTCATATTTATATAGAGCTTACTATGTGCCAAGCAGTTTACAACTATTATCTCAATTGATCCTTACAGCAACCCTGAGTGGTAGGTGCTATTATGCCCATTTTACAGATGAGGAAACTAAAGCAAATAGAGGTTAAATGACTTGCTCAAGGTCACATGGCTAGTAAATGTTTGACGTTAGATTTGAATCCAGGTCTTCCTAGCTTCCTAGCTTCAGTTATCGATTCATTATGTCCCTCTTTAAAAAACACAGAACAAAAACAAGAATCAGAACCACCTGATAGCTAACCTTTATACCACTTTTACATACATAATTTTATCTGATCTTCAACAACCTTGTGAGGTAAGTGCTATTATTATTCTCATTTTCCAGATGAGGCTGCTGAGGCTGAGGGCAGTTAAGTGACTTTGCCAAACAAATTAAAACAAAGGTCATTGAGTATTGAATTAGAAGAATGATAGGCAGTATGGTATTGTGGAAAAGAGCAATGGGTTTGGACCTCAGTCCAAATCATGGTTCTCCCGCTTTACAACCCAAATGAACTTGAGCAAGTCACTTCCCTGGTCTCAATTTTCTCATCTGTAAACTAAGGAGGATCGGACTAAATGATCTCTGAGGTTTTTTCCAGCTCCAAATCTATGCGATTTGGACTGTGGTCTTCTCAGGTGTCCTTGAGATTGAATTTCCTGCCAGTTTGCAGTTCTTGGCCAATTAGTGAATTCTACTTATCTTTCGTATTTTCATGCTTTGCAGTGAGCACCCTGTAAGGTACAATGAAAAGATTGCTGGTTCTGGTATCAGAAGATCTTAGTTCAAATCCTGCCTCTTCTGTTTAGAACCTGAGTGACCTTTGGCAAGTCACTTAACCACCACAGGCCTCAGTTTACCCATTTGTAAAATGAGGTAAGTAAATCCATTGGCTTCTGAGAGTTTGAGGTGTGGGTGGAGTAACTGTCAGTCAGTCAATAAACTCGGTGTTCACAGGAAAAGAGGAGCGTGTTTTCTTGGCTTTCTTTGAATGCCCCAGCATCTTTCATTAGGAAACACAGCTTCCCATCAATATGTGAGTCAGGCCAGGCCTCTAGGGGACAAGATGTTATCTGGCATCATATCTGGGTCTTAATAACTCTGCTGGAGGTTATGGAAAGCCACAGCAATATTCACTTTTATAAGAGCAGGTTATTGCAAAATCAATCAGCGTGACATATACACCCAGGTATCTAAATAACAATAATAACATTATTATTATTATTAATAAACACAGGTAGTTTATGAAGTGAGGAACAGGAGATTAAATTCAACACCCTCCCCTCCTGCCCAGACACAGGCGTGAGTGATTTAGCTTCTAATCAAACTCGTGTGTTTGTGTGTGTGTGTGTATGTGTGTGTGTGTGTTTTAAGTAGGTTCAAACTCGCCCAGCATCTTGGTAAGTGCTATTGGCTTTAATTAAAAGCTTCCAAATGACAGTCATTCATTTTACTGTGTGTTCAAAATAAACCATGCTTTCTCTGGCTCAGAGCTTTAGCATTGGCTGAATGGCATAGGACTTGGGATCTTTGGCCTGAGTTCCATTAGGGTGAACTAGCTCCCAGATATAGGGCTGCTAGGTGGCACAGTGGATAGAGCTCCAGGCTTGGAGTCAGGAACATTCATCTTCCTGAGTTCAAATCTGGCCTCAGACACTTACTAGCTGGGTGACCCTGGACAAGTCACTTAAGCTTGCTTGTCTCAGTTTCCTCATCTGTGAAATTAGCTGGAGAAGGAAATCACAGACCACTCCAGTATCTCTGCCAAGAAAACCCCAAATGAGGCCACCAAGAGTCAGACACGACTGGAAAGACTGAATGAAGTCAACAAAGCTCTCAAATGGATCTTCTGAGACCTTGGCTGTCATATTGGGAATGGGGTTGGGGATGAGGATGAAGGGCAGACTCTGGCTGGAACAAGGAAGTCTCGGCATGACTTAGAATCAGAGGACCTAGGCTCGAATCCTAACACTGCCCCTGTAATTCCTTATCTGTAACATAAGGGAAAAGGAAGAAAACAAGTCTGTATTAGTATCTACTATCAGAGAGAAAAGAACTCATTGAGAGAAAAGTCAGGATCGCTGATATAGAGCTTGAAGTGACCCTATGGATCATTTAGTCCAGCTCCTCATCTTACAGGTAGGGAAAGTGACTTGCCTAAGGTCACTGAACCCAAGTCCTGTGACTCCTGAGGAAGAGATCGTCCCACTGCACTGCACCGGATCTGCAGTCAGAGAACCTGGATTTAAGTGCCATCTTTGCCACTTGGTCCCCCTTTGACCTCGGCCAAGGCTTCTCTTCTCTGTAAACCTTTGGTAGTGTTTCTGTAAGTCAGTCAACAAGCATTTACAAGTGCTTACTATGTGCCAGGCATTCTGTTAAGTGCTAGGGATACAAAGAAAGGTGAAAAATTCCAAAAGCAAGCAAAGTAGTCCCTGCTTTTTAAGCTCATAGTCTAATGGGTTGAGCAAACCCTTTGCAAGCAGCTATGGAATGGGTGGATGAGAATAATTTGTTCCCATGGCCATGAAGGTGGCTGAAGTAGGCACTGTGGAGCACTTAGAGCTTGGTCTGACATTGAAGACGCCAAGGTCATCCACTGTATCCCGGGCTATCACCAGTCATCTTGATTTTTGTCTTGCCCCTGGACTTAGATGACGCAGGAAGAGAGAGTGTCACAACTTCACCCAACTCTGCCTCACTTAAGTCCAACTCACAAGCAATTCAAGACATCCCTCTTGATGTCATTGATCCTTTTCAAAAATGAAGTACAAGCAACAAAAACAAACAAGAGATATACATGACACACGGGAGGAATGATGCTAGCATTAAGGAGAACTTGGAAAGCATTCTCGTAAAAAGTAAACCAAGCAGAATTACATTAATTTAAGCGAATGATGAAAAGGATGTGGGCCAGGATGGTGGCAATGTCAGAGGAGAGAAGGGGGTGTGTATGTAAGAGATGTTATGAAGGTACAAATGATCTGACCTATGATTGTATGTATGTATGTGTGTATGTGTATATATATTATATATACATATATATTATATATATATTATATATACATATATATTATATATATACATATACACACACACACACACACACACACACACACACATATATATATATATATATACATATATATATATATACATATATATATATATATATATATATATATATGGAGAGAGAGAGAGAGAGAGAGAGAGAGAGAGAGAGAGAGAGAGAGAGAGAGAGAGAGAGAGAGAGAGAGAGGAGGATTGAGCCTGGGTAACTGGGAGGATGTTAGCACCTTCAACAGTAATAGAAAAATTAGAATGAGGGGAGGGCTTGGAGTGAAAGATACTAAGATCGGGTATTGATATGTTGAGTTTAAGATGCTTATAGGACATCCAGTTCAAGTTATCCAATAGACCATTGGAGATAGGAGACTGGAGGTAAGGAGAGAGGATAGAGGTGGATAAATAGATCCGGGAATCATCTGAAAAGAGACGATAACTAGTAATAATACTAATAGCTAACATTTATATAACACCTACTATGTACCAGGTACTATGCTAAGCACTTTACAATTATTTACAATTATTTTCTCTTTTGATCTGACAACAACTCTGGGAGGTAGGTGCTATTATTATCTCCATTTTACAGAAGAATAAATGGAGGCAAATAGAAGTTAAATGATTTGCCCAGGGTTACATAGCTAGTAAATGTCAGAGGCTGGTTTTCTACTCAGGTCTTCCTGACTCTACACCCAGTGCTTTATCCACTGAACCACCTAGTAGCCCTTAATTGAATCCATGGGAGCTGAGATCATCAAGGGAAATAGTTTAGAAAGAAAAGAGAACAGAGGGATAGAGCCCACACAGGTAGCAGGAGTGATCTGGATGAAGATATAACAAAGAAGAATGAGAAGGAAAGGTCAGTCAGGTAGGAGAGAACCAGGAGAGAGCAGTGTTATGAAAACCTAAAGAGAAGAGAATGATTAGCAGGGTCAGAGGCTGCAGAGAGGTCAGGAAGAATGAAGATGGAGAAAAGGCCATTAGGTTGGTGATTTATAACAAAGAAGAATGAGAAGGAAAGGTCAGTCAGGTAGGAGAGAACCAGGAGAGAGCAGTGTTATGAAAACCTAAAGAGAAGAGAATGATTAGCAGGGTCAGAGGCTGCAGAGAGGTCAGGAAGAATGAAGATAGAGAAAAGGCCATTAGGTTGGTGATTAAGGATTCTGCAAGCTCGTGGGCAGATCCTCATCTCAGAGGATGGGGTGGCTGAACCCTTGTACGCTTGGCCTGTGGACGACTCCTCATAGGGACCATCTTCAATGGCCAGGACTTCATGGTGAGATGTTTTCTGCTTGCTAAGTCCACATAGATAGGGTCTGAGAAAGCCCTACCAAATTCCACTCCTGTTGTGGAAAGCATTATTGTAAGCTCTAATGACTCAGAGCTACAGCTAGTCTGGCTTCCATC